GAGGCCCCAATCTTAGGCAGAGTGGAGTCAGGAGTAATGAGCTCACCAAGGCTCCGGATGTGCCGTCAGCATCCTGTCCACAGCTCCTTCAAAGCAAGGGCGCATCATCTTCTCCTGCAAACTCTTCCTCCTCCTGACTTCCCCATGTCAGCTAAAGGGACCAACCTCATCACACAGGCACTGAAATGTCAAACCCCAGCCAACCAAGTGTCCGTTCCGCAAGATGATAGCTACTTTCACAATCTCTCTAGAATCAGTCCCTTCTTTTCCATGTCTGCTGCCAAATTCCAGCTTTTACTACATCTCACCTGGGCCCTATCTACCCAGTTTCCTGTCTTCTCCCTCCCCTTATGACCAGCTATATATATCCTGCTCCCAGTCAGCCCTTTGCCTGCTCAAGAACTTGTCAGAACTAAGTGCTCCATTTGCCACCTGCCAGTTCAAGTCCTTGTCTAGTGGCTTTCTGGACGGATGTCTTGCAGTGCCCATTTCCTCTTCTTCTGGGGACTTTAAATTTTCGATACAGTCTGGGTGCACTGCCTCCCATGCCACCAGCCCACCCTGCTAGGCTGGGCCAACCAGACATCTCCTCCCTGGGATGTGCATCTCAAGCCCTGGTGACAAAATTACAGAGCAGGGCTGCAGCAGATTTATCCTGGCAATAGCGCTACCTTGAAGTCGGCTGGCCTTTGGTTCCTGCCGTACCCACTCCGAGACCCTGGAGGGGACGTGGGTGTTGAGTCATCTCTCTGATTCTGGGAGTCCCCACAATCTTTTAAGGAAGTCCTTTGCTGCCAAATTCAGCCAAGCTGTTGCTTGTAACCAAAGACGATTTTCTTAGTACTTTCTGACATACATTTCCTACGTCCTAGCCAAAAGGGAAAACTCCCTATAAATGCTACGATGGCCTCCCTCAGCACCCGTTGGCCCCTCTCCAGCCCACAGGCACTGCTGAAGCTCTACCTGCCCCTTCAGAGCCCAAAGGCCTCTACTGAACCCTCTATGGGGATGGCTTCGGCTTCCTTTAAAGCAACAAGCTACTAGCTGTCCCTTCTGCCTTCTTCCACTGTAGACATTGGGGTACGTGCCTTAGCCCCCTCCTAAGGGACAATGACTTGGTCATTATTCCCTCCACAACACCCACTCCAGGAACCCAGCATAGCTTCAGGTTCAGTAAAATTCACCAGACTCTGCGGGAAGACAACCCAAAGGACAATTACAGGCTCACTGGGCAAAAGAGACAGTGAGTGACAAAGAATGTGGAGCGTGTCATCTGAAAGACTGGAGTCTCAATTCTGGGTTCTCTGCTTACTGAACCATCTGAGTTCAGGGACGTCTTGTAATTTCTGTAGGTCTCAGTACTTTGTCTATGAGGTAGTGACAATAATGCCAAACTCTCAGTGTGAGGGCATCTAGGATGATGCCTAGCTAGCAGTAAGCACACAGTTAACACCAGCCATTATTCTAGCTATTAGTAGCTGGTTTAACAGATGCTCTATCAAAAAACAAAAACAAAACAGATGCTCTATCAGAGGGCTGGAATCAGGAGTCCCAGGGCTTACTATGTAACCCCACCTGGATCTGGATTTGCCTTAAAAACAATAGTAGAAACTCCTTCACAAAGTAAAAGCACAATGGAAGTGATTCCTCCCACTTTTCTAAATTTCAGAGATTCCCAGGTGTCCTGCCCAGGGCACGACGATGGCAGGACTTCACCTGGCAAATACTCCAACCTGCTCAGTCTGAGAGGCAAAGTCAGGGCAAATGATGGTGTGGTTCAGCGTCTGCTTCCCCATGTCCACACAACCATCCCTTTTCCAAAGGGATAGTTCCTAGATGTCCTGCTTTCGTGGGGCCTTCCTTCAAATAACCAAGGGATAGTGTCTGCTATGTGGTTACAGTGGGACTGGGAGCTCAGGCACTGCAAGTCACCCCTACCATTAACCTAGTCAACACTGCGCAGTATCAGAATGAAAGGCAAAGTGTACCAGCCAGAACAAGCCTGGGTTGGGGAAGCAAGGCAGAAGTCCCTCTTAAGACTTCTATCTGCCTGGATTAATCTCCTAAGCAACTGTTACAGCCCAAACCAGTGGTTCTCAAAGTGTTCTCTCTGAGGAGCTGAGCAGAAATGCAAATTCTAGGCCCCACCCAGACTGACTGAATCAGAAAACTCTGGGAGTGGGGCCCAGCAATCTGTGCCTTAAACAGCTCGGAGGGGAGGGGGGAGGAGTCTGACGCCAGCTCAAATATGAGGAACCGTGTCCTAAACCTTTCATGGCACGATCCTCTGCTTTAACTCAAACATTTGCTGAATGCTTCCTACCAAGGATCGAGCCGGGTGATGGTACTGCAGAAATGAGGACACATGTGAAGAACTTCCACAGTTTAATGGGGAAATACACAAATACACTAGGCAGGATGTAGCATGAAAGAAGACAAGGGAATCACTTTCCGCCCCTCTCCCTCAGACTCCTACCCCTCAGACCTTCTCTTGCCATGGCTGGGAAAAGAGAACACCAGTTCTGAAAACCTGGAAACCCACCCCCAATGCTGCTATTCTGGACTCTTTAACCTCGGGTAGCTTTCTCAAGAGGAGTGATCCTTGCCCAAAGGCATGTCTCAGGTCCAGAAGCTTGACATGTGGGGATATGCTCCCACGAGGCCACACCCAGTGGTTCTTAGGGACTTGGAAAATGGCTCTATTGGAGGTTTGGGCTCAGAAAGTTCCTGGAGGGCCATGAACGTGCCACAGCACATCACAACAATGCATTCCTGGGCAGGGTCACTCCCACAGGCCCCTGGCAAGCTTGCAAACGAGTGTGCAGATACAGATAAAAACACACAGACAGTTGGCCCCCTGGCCTCTCTTCCTCTAATCTCAAGTTACAAGGTTAAAGGCATCCTATTCGCAGCCAAAGGGGATCAAAGAGGGGTTGCTGAAGCAGCTAGCCATCTGGTTCAGATCAAGACTGCTCATTCAGGACCCCAGCTAACTCCCTGATGGCTCACAGGTTTCCCTCCCTCCCCCAAATTCCCACAGGGAAACTGAAGACTGGGCTGGAAAGGGGTGACCCAAAGGCAAATTTGCCAAAGGAAGACTAGAAAACAAAAACCTGAATTAGGCAAGTCTGTGCCACCTCTCTGAGCCCTGGTTCCCAGTTCCCTTCAGATCCTGAACACCACGACTAAACTCGAGATTACCGCCTACGGACACTGTGCCTTCCTCCACAAAGCACTCGGGGCACATAAACAGGCATCCTTCCTTGAACCAGCAACCCCTTCCAAAGTTAGCAGCAGAATCTCGATAAGTTTTAGGGGTGTGGTATCCCAGACTCCTCTTATGCCACCATCTCTACCAAGGTAGGAGGTTCCCTCCATCTCAGAGGGACTTGAGAGCCCACCAGGCATAATAAGAGAAAGGAATAACCAACTGGAATCTAGGCAATTGTCCCAAAGACAAGATGGGAGTGTGAGTTACCCTGCGAGGAATGGCTGTTTCCCAGAGACCCTAGAGTGCCCTGAAGCCCCACTCAGAGGCTCTGTTTGGAAGAGGCAGCCACTCCCTTTCTGCCACCAGCACTTCTCTTTCCCCTTTCCCCCAATACCTTAGACTCTGTTCTTCAGTGCTTTATGCAACTGTAAAGCAAGAGACAAGATGGGAGATGGATGCAGTTGGCAAGAACAGAAATTGAAAGGCTAACTTGAGCAAAGAAGCAATGGGTGGGTGACTCTTCACAGGCAGAGAGGGCCAGAAGTGGGCTATGGGAAGGAGGATGGGGTTAGCAGAAGTGGTAGAAAGCTAAAGGGGAACCTAAAGTGAGCTCAGCCCAGGGATGCATCAGGAGGCTTGGGAAGTCCGGTCCAGTTACAGTGGAATGGCTGAAGGAAAAAAAAAAAATGACTTCCATTCCAAAGCATGGGCTCAGGACAGCCCTCAAAGGACTGGGGCATGGCCTTGGCCAAGTTTCTGGTTTATGTCATGCCTCAGTTTCTCCAAAGTAGGAAGGAGGTCAAGCTGTTAGGTTTCATCAGAGGGAACTAGGCCATCAGGGGTGGCTGGGGTAGTGCCAAGTAGGGGAAAGAGGAGAGAGAGATGCTGATGGTGCAAAGACAGCCTGTGGCCAAGAGAAGCGGGGCAGGGGTCTCCAGGTAGTTCAGAGGCCAAGAGCGCGCAGGGGTTGTGGGTACGAACTAGCCACTGGACAGTAAGTCGGGACTGGGGCAGCGAACGCTTCCCAGAGCTGGGGCTGGGGGCTGCCACCAAAGAGTGGAACAGTCGCGCCTCAAGGGCTGGGAGCGGCTCGAGGTGCAGAAGCAGAAGGCGGGGATGGGGATTGAGGCCAAGACAGGCGGACCCGCGCCCCCATGGGGCAACCCAGAGCCCAGACCCCCGGGAAGTTGTCGGGGTGGGCCGGGCGGGTGTGGGCCGCTGGGCCGAGCCAGCTGCCCGCGCGTTAAGGGGTTCGGGCAGCAAGGGGCCCGGGGCGCCCCGCATCCCTCCCGCCTTCACCCCGCCCGCGCACCTCAGTCAGCGCCGGGCGCCGCGCGGGCCATGCTCGCCGCTCCAGTCGCCGCCTCCGCCCGTGCAAAAAGCCGCCGCCGCTGGCGGCGTCCGGACCCGTTAGCTCCGCGGTTCCCTCGTCCGTCCGCAGCGGGTCAGTCCCGCCCTTGCCGGCTCTGCCCTCCCGGAGCGAGCCGCCGCCGCCGCCGCCTCAGTCCGGCCCCTCCCCCCACCCCAGCCCGGCTTGAAGGGAAGGGTGGGGGAAGGGGACGACTGCCCCCTCCCCATTCACATCCTCTCTGTCTCTCCCCACCCTCCTCCACCCGCACCCGCGCGGGCATGCTGGGATATGGAGTGCAGCCGGCGTTGGACCGCTAGGGGTGCGCCACATCCAGGACTACAGCTCCCGGAAGACAGCGCGCGCACTATAGGGATTGTGGACTTTGTAGTTCGTCCGGGACCCGGGGGGGGGGCGGTCTACCGCGCAGGAGGTGGGGTCGGCGCGGCGGGGGATGGGAAATCTCCATTGCCAGAAGGCTGGGCTCCCGGCGTTTGAAACCGAGGGTGTGGGGTTCTGCGGTGCTCCGGGCTCGGGTTGAATACCTGGATCCCGAGGGAGGTGCAAACTGTAGCCCAGGATGCCTCTCAGACGCGTCTGTGGCCAGATGCTGCCGAGTCCCGCTGAAGGGGAAGCCTCCCGGCCCCCGAACAGAGCCTCGGGTACAGTTGCCGTTCGCGCTCCCAAAGAGCCATGACCTGAGACCAGTTTGGCTGCGTGCCCCGGCTCTCCGAGCCGGAGGAGCTGTGGTGGGGCCTTTGTGCTTAGGCGAGAGGAGAAGGGGCTCCAGGAGCGGCGTGGGCGTGGGGTTTTCCCTACCCGGGAAAAGGGAGCGGAGAGACTGTGGGTTTCCCGGAGCACCTCGTTCCAGTCTCCCTCTCTTTTGTCAGATGCTCTTAGCTCCCTCCCTACTGTTTAGGGTAAGGCGCACACGTTTTAAATATTTTTTCCATGTCTTCTCTTATCAGGGACCTTCCCCAACTTCCAAACCTAACTCAAACCCTTCAAGAAGCTCCAGGTCGACTGCACTTCCGTCCTCCAAGCTTCATCTCTTCTGGCAGAGCGGAAGCCTGTAGGTCAGTGGTTCTCAAACTTTGGCGTGTTATCAGATTCTCCTGGAGAGCTTGCTCAAATACAGCTGGCTCCCCACTCGAGGTTTCTGTTTCATTAACTCTAAGGTGTGCCTGGGAATTTGCATTTCTAGCAACATCCCACGTGAGGCTGCTGGCTGCTGGTCTGGGGAAGCACTTTGAGAGCTGCTACTGTTGCTGTTTGTTAGTTCTGACTTTGTCCTTCAAGGATGGGTCTGCTGTGGAATATTAGTCTCAGAAAAGCCAGGCCACCTAAGGCAGGATTCTAGCGTGGTTTAGCACAGGAGTGCTCTTTTAATTGTAATAAATAAACAAATCAGTTCATCCTGGAAAGAAAAATAGGGTGTGGGCCATCTGATTGAAAGGTGTTCCTGATCTTAGCCCTTGGTGTTTTCTCTAAAGCTGGGGAGGTTTTCTGGTGGTAACTGCCCCTCCTCTCCATGTATGTAAGCCAAGGAGTGTGATCTCAAATGGGGAATACAGTGGGCTCGGTAGAATCCACTCCCTCTGGGTGGGCTACGACCTAAAACAGGTTGGGGAGGCACCTGGGTGGCTCAGTTGGTTAAGCATCTGACTTCATCTTTGGTTATGATCTCAAGGTCCTGGGATTGAGCCCCATATTGGACTCCCTGCTCAGTGAGGGGTCAGCTTGCCCCCCAACACACACACACTCTTTTTTTTTTTTTTAACCTCTCTCTCTCAAATAAATAAAATCTTTTAAAAAATTAAATAAATAAAAATGAAACAGGCTGGGGTGGTGAAAGATGGGAAGGTGGCTTCCTGACCTCTCAGGTAGGCTCTCATTGACCTTGTAGTTCTGGGAACTACAAACCCCTGAAGACAACACTTGGTGACCATCACCCTCAGACACAATCCTAGACTCTACCAGCTGTAAGGTGACAAAAATTCACTGCCTGACCAAACTTAAGCCAGGCTGGTCTGAGCTCTCTTCTTCCATAGGCCTCAAGCTTGGTCTATAAAAACTACACTCCTCAACACAAACGATTTCATTCATCCTCCACCCTGCACAGTAAAGACTTAAACATAGTAACATAGTTTCTAACACCTCAAAGCCACATCCCTAGGATGACAGTAGCTCTTCTCAAGTGCAGGCCAGGTAAACCTCAAAGCTGCGGAAAGGATTTGTTGTTTGTTGTAGCCAACCCCAGAAGATAGGTGACTACTCCAACTTAAACACTTACTACAAAGGTCTTGCAACTGTGACTCCTTCCTCTGTCCTTTTGAGATGTATATGTAGCTTCTACAGCTCCGGAGTGCCTTTCCCGAGGACCTGAAAGCCCTTCCTTTGAAATGTAATCATCAGGAAGGGTAGGGCCTGGGTCTCCCAGCCACTGTGGGAGGATAGCATCCTAACCTCCTAACAGCAGGCCTAATCATTCACACCCACCAATCCTACGTCATTTTTCACTTCCCTGACTCCAGAGCCCCTCTCACCTCCCTCCGTACTCCCTCATTCTCTCTTTAAAATGCGTCACCTCTACAAACTGAAACTGAATTCAGTTCATACTGGACCCTCTTCCTTATTGCAGTAGTATATTTCTGCTTAAAATCTGGCCTAACACTTTGGTGTCTGGCTTTGTTTATCTTTGACAAAAGGGGTAGGTACACTGAGTCCTTAGGGCCCAGATTCTAGTGTTCCACCCTTCCACTGAGGGCCAAAAGGGTGAGTTACTCCCAGGTCTTTGGGCAAGTAGCCAAGTGGCGACCAGAGGCCTTGGACCTTGACTAAAGTTAACTCTGGGATGCTTTTCTGTTTCTTTTAGATTTGTGTCTCCATCACAGGCCCGTGGCAGCTAAGTCATCCACACGCAACCCAGTGCTCTTTCCATAAAACGAGCTGCCAGGCCTTTCCTACAGGGGCTTGACCTCTGCACCTGAGTCACGTGCCATGACAACATTCCCTCACAGACAGAAGGTTCATGAATTTTTGAGTTTACACTCGTCTCCCGAATCTCTGTTGGCAGATGGTTCAGGGAGAACTAAGATTCCCTTTCACGGAAAGGACAAAGAGACCTTCTTTCTACCTCAGCTCCAACATACCCTTATCATCACCCTTACCACCTCCCACTTAGATGTCACATGGCTTCACCCTTTTCCCCTTGCTGGTTCTGTTTTCCCATCCCCTCCGCCAATCCAAATTCTGCCTGTCTGAAATCTACCTTGAGTTTTCCTTCCTCCAGAAGGTTCTCTCCAACTGCCGCAGGGTAGCGTTTGGATTTGAATCATTCTTTGAAAAGCCTAGCTTTGCTGGTGACCTGTCCAATGCGACAGAGGAAGTGGAATGGGAATTTGGGAGTTGGAACATGGCAGATGAGAGCATAGGGCTTTGCAGGCAGACAGCTACTAAGTAGTAAGGTGCAAAGTGGAGAGGAATTGGCTCCATCACACCCTGGGGTTCTGTTTGGGGGACAGAAGCTTAAAGGTAGACCAGTCTGGCAGCTCCCCCGACCCCATGCTGTGCATGACCCAGAGCAAGTTACACAATTCTTTCGTTTGTATAATGGGAATAATAACAATCAAAGACCTCATTTTATTTATTTATTTATTTATTTATTTATTTATTAAGATTTTATTTATTTATTTGTCAGAGAGTGAGAAAGCACACAAGCAGGCAGAGGCAGAGAGAGAGGCAGGCTCCCTGCCGAGCAAGGAGCCCCATGTGGGATTCGATCCCAGGACTCCGGGATCATGACCCAAGCCGAAGGCAGCAGCTTAACCCGCTGAGCCACCCAGGCGTCCCTCAAAGTCCTCATAAAAAAAAAGATTTTACTTATTTATTTGACAGAGAGAGAGATCACAAGTAGGCAGAGCAGCAGGCAGAGGGAAAGGGGGAAGCAGGCTCCCCGCTGAGCAGAGAGCCCAACATGGGCTCAATCCCAGGACCCTGAGATCAGGACCTGAGCCGAAGACAGAGGCTTTAACCCACTGAGCCACCCAGGCGCCCCAAAAGACCTCATTTTTTAGAGCTGTTGTAAAGATTGAAAAAATACTATGATCTTAGGTAGGAAGACTATCAAAAATAAATGAAGTTAATCTATAAATTATTGTGATTCCAGTACAAATACTAGCAGGTTGTTTGCTCTTTTTGTTGTTGTTCATTTTTTGGAGATGGGAGAGAGAAGTAGATAAATTGATTTTTAAAAATTATTTGGATACATAGGGGTGCCAGAGTGGCTCAGTCAGTTACTCATCTGCCTTGGGCTCAGGTCATGATCCCAGGGTCCTGGGATCAAGCCCATGTTGGGCTCCCTGCTCAGTGGGGAGCCTGCTTCTCCCTCTCCCTCTACCTGCCTCTGCCTACTTGTGCTCCATCTCTCTGTCAAATAAAATAAATAAAATCTTTTAGGGGTGCTTGGGTGGCTCAGTGGGTTAAAGCCTCTGCCTTCAGCTCAGGTCATGATCCCAGGATCCTGGGATCGAGCCTCGCATCAGGCTTTCTGCTCAGCAGGGAGCCTGCTTCCTCCTCTCTCTCTGCCTGCCTCTCTGCCTGCTTATGATCTCTCTCTGTGTCAAATAAATAAATAATGTTTTACAAAAAGATTATAAAATCTTTAAAAAAAATTTTTTTTGAAAAATAACAAGCAAGAGTAGTCAGGAAATGTTTAAAAAACTAACAGTAGTAAAGGATGTTAGCCCTCTCAGATAGTCAACATATTATAAAGTCTACTCTTAAAGGATATGATAGATCAATGACAGACCTGCCAATCTAGAAGTAAACTCAAATACTCATAGGAATGAGCTTAAATACTAAAGGGAAATTGGCATGCAGTAAAGATACATTCTTAAATAAGCAGAAGAGAAGGTGAATTACTCTATAATGATGCAGGGACATTTTGGGAACCATTTGCTAAAAAATTAAGTCAACAGTGACTAAATTAGTGGATTGAAGTAAAAGTCACCAATGCTTCTCAGTGTCATGAAAAACAAAGACAACCATACTTCATCCATGGAAGTAAGACACTCTGAAAGTAGTGTTGAAGACAGAAATCACCCCAAAGCCAACAACACCAATATACAGAATATGCTGGTATCAGAGGACCAGGTTATTTGAAACCATGTAAGATACAATCAAGAAAATGCAGTGAGAAACCATACAGGACAAATGACCCAGTTTCTTCAATGAATACCTTTAAAATTAAAAAAAAAGACATAGAAGAGAATCTGTAAATTTTAAAAGCCCTGTCAGCCAACCACAATGTATATGGACTTTATTCAAACAACAAAAAATGTTGTTTTAGAATAGGGGAAATTTGGGGAACCTGGGTGGCTTCGTTGGTTAGTCATGGCTCAGGTCGTGATCCCAGGGCATGGGATGAAGCGAGTCAGGCTCCTTGCTCAGTAGGGAGCTTGCTTCTCCCTCTCCCTCTGCCTGCTGCTCCCCCTGCTTGGGTGCTCTGTCAAATAAATGGATGAAATCATTTTTAAAAAGGAGGGGGGAGACTTGAACACTGACCATTGGATATTAAGCGATTGCTGTTAATTTTAAGTGTGCTAATGGTGTTGTGGTTAGTTTTTGTCTAAGAGACCTCATTTAATAATATATACTGAAATCCTGAAATCCTATTTATGGAATGATAAGATGTCTGGGGTTTGCTTCAAAATAATTCAGGGTTGGATGAAGGTATAGATACAAGTTTGACTGGATTGATCATTGTTGGAGTGGGGGGGAATGATGGTTACTTGGGGTTCATTATAATATTTTTTCTACTTTTGCTTATGTTTGAAGTTTTCCAAAATAAAATGGTTTAAACCTTTTTCAGTGACATCTCCACCTCATACCTAGCTAAAAACCACCACCAACACCACCACCAAAAACCAAGTTAATAGAAAATGGGAGACATTTTTGGAATTTATATTAAAAGGTGAAGAGCTGGGGCGCCTGGGTGGCTCAGTGGGTTAAGCTCTGCCTTTGGCTCAGGTCATGATCTCAGAGTCCTGGGATCGAGCCCCACATCGGGGTGTCT